ATGTATATATATGTATATGATTGTAAGTGCTTGTGATTCTCTAATATCATAGAATATTCCATTTTCGACTTCACAAAAGCCAACATTACTATAAATATATCACATTGTACGACTATTTTTATTTTCTGATTTTTTTTCTTTGTTTACTTTATGTTTAATTTTTAAAAAATTTTTCTTTACAATAGCAAGAAACTAACGTATCCGAAATATTCCTTATTTTTCATATGATATGATAGGGTTAGAATTTGATAAGAACAAAAATTGGAAATTGTTAAACTTTTATTTTTAAATCAAATTTAAATTTCAATAATTTCGAGTAGTAGAATGTTGAAATTTTTCAGAAATTCAAAATATAATTTTTCTCAAAAAATTTTTTTTATCTTTTCACTATTGAATGTTTGTTTATTTTTCTTATTTATTCCATTCTTTTATTTTTAAAATGTAAAATATTGTAGTTTTATTTATATTTCAATTTTATTCAATAAGGTAGAAAAAGGAAATATTATTTGGACTTTTTATTTATGTTTACGAAATTTTTATCAATGTAAATAAATGTTGACATAAGATTAGATTATTTGATAACAAAATAGAAAGAAATGTCTTAATCATAGAAAGTTAAGACGAAATAATATGTTCGATGCTACTCTCTTCTATGCTAATTTGAATGCTAATTTGGAATGCTAATTATGGATTGCTAATTTAAATGATACGGATATGATCCTGTTGCTAAACTTTCTCAAAAAATAAATAAAAAGACGATGATTCTCATGATTATTTGATTTTTCAACATTTCCAAATAGTGTGAAATATATCATTCTGAAACATTTCAAATTATTATCTAATTGGGTTTGAAGGAAACAGATCAATGCATATATAAATTTCAATTCAGATTAAGTTTCAAATTTGTTAATGCAATAAAATTGTGATTTTAAAAAGATTAGTTAAGCAACATTACAGACTTCGGATCAGCAGTAACAGACAGGGTTAATGATTTCGATGATATGCCGTCAGTGAGCACTGTTAATGCAGAGTTTTATGATACATGTCAGCTAAATTTGTCGGATCATACGGCAACTCTTAATATCAGTATGTAATCAATAATTTCTTTTTTTTTTTTGAAATGAAATTACTTCATTTGGAGCGATTGTCATTAAGTAATATTGTTCCATACATAGATGGCATATTTTATTAAAGAAATTCAAACAATCAAAATTGGAATTAATTAATTAGAGAAAAAATAAGTAAATTCTTATATAAGGAATTTTGTTATCTTTTAGATGATAAAGAATCAATGAATGGAATGAGTGCCGGAAATACGATGTCACGACAAATGCCACCTAGCATCAACTGTTTATGTTACAGTCGCTCATTAATTTCACAATTTACTCATCACCATCATCATCACCATCATCATCATCAACAGCAACAACAACAACAACCGCAACAACAACAACAGCAACAGCAACAACAACAGCAACAGCAACAGCAACAGCAACAACAACAGCAACAGCAACAACAGCAGCAGCAACAACAACAGCAACAACAGCAACAGCAACAGCAACAACAAAATGAAGCATGGAATTCGGAAAGATGTTCACCTTACGGGCAGTATCAAATGCAAACTTATGTGCAACATCCAGTACCAAGTGAATCCATGTCATCATCACCAAATTCCGAAACGGATGTCGAATACGGTCAACCATCATCATCATTAACATTACCGGGTCTTACTGGTATTTTTTTAAATTGTCAACTTTCAATCCTTTTTAAAGCATTTTTTTTGGAATTCTTGGCATATAAAATATAGCAACCTGGATAATTTATGGAAGTTTTAATTTGCTATTAGTATGATTATTGCATTTTTGTTCATAACGTATAAAATTCTTATGATATTATATTAATCGATTTATAGCGAATTATAATACTCTTGCCTTATGATAATATATTTTCTTTTTTGATAAGCTATCACTTAGCTATCATTCATTTTTTTTTGATGTATTTTCTATAGCGATAGTAAGAAATAAATTTAAACATTTAATGTTTAAATGTCCTGTGCAAAAATTAAAAAATATATGGATTTTGTTTTATTATTTTCTTAAACTTCCATCACTCTTATATAAAGCTAATTCAGAATGCGTATTTTATATTTTTATCAAATGCAAATTGTTTAATTTTAGGTCCTATTCAACTTTGGCAATTTTTATTGGAGCTTCTGATGACTGAATCTACAAATTCTTGCATTGCTTGGACGGGTGATGGATGGGAATTCAAATTAAATGATCCCGATGAAGTTGCACGTAAATGGGGAATTCGCAAAAATAAACCAAAGGTTATTTAAGTGGTAGTTTATTGTTTTAATTTTAAAATGGATGAGGATGAAGGAGGAAGAAGGGTTAAAAAAAGAAGTAAGTGTAGCAAAAATTACACCATTGATTAACTTAAATTTACAAGTAAGTATTGTAAAATTTGATAATATCATGATAACTATTACAAATGATTATCTTATCTTATAGATGAATTATGAAAAACTTTCACGTGGTCTAAGATACTATTATGATAAAAATATTATTCATAAAACACCCGGTAAACGATACGTGTATCGATTTGTATGCGATCTCACCTCGGTACTACAAATGTCTGCTGAACAAATTCGCAGAAAAGTGGAGGTGAAACGTGAACTTGATCAGTGATTTCTTATCATTTTTAATATCAATCATTAAAATGTTATTCATTGCCCACAGCCATCCTCATTGTATATTTTGAGGTATATTCAATATCAATTTTATATTTTAAAACATTAATGTGTCTTAATGATACGATTCCGCGAGTGAAATTAAAATTAAAATTATCGAAATATCGTTTTCTATTCAAATTTTGTGAATGGAAAAATTAAGCAATTTAAAATTATAAATAAATTTAATATTATCTTCTTTGAATTTGATCATACGTTAGTGAGATATGAGTATGTATGGCGAAATTTATCACAATTATGCAAATTTATCTTTACCTTTTTTTTTAATCAACTTTCTTAAAATAAATTTAAAAAAGAAAGGAATGAAAAAATTGATTTGAAAAGAAAATAAAATGAAATTCAACTTCTCAGCATTTATTCCATTTTTCCACTATTAATTATTTTCCTCTTTTGTTTTTCTTCAATTTTCAAATGTGCCTTTTAATTGTTCCAATTTTTGTTTCAACCATTTTTTGGTACTTTAAATTGTTTCAATTTTATTTCAACCATTTTTGTGGTATTTCAAGTAGAGCGCTTATCATTTTGCATGCAACAAATAAAAGAATAAAAATTTTTCCAACAAATTTTTAAATGAAAAATTTAATTTTGTACGGGGTACTTTTGTTATTTTCATTTTCGGTTTTTTGTTGAAGAAAAGGGAAATTGATAGATGGATAATAATATGTTGGTGATATTTACCAAAATGAATCCTTTTTATTTTCATTGATAATTTTTTGAAATTTCTTTAGAATTGTTTGATTAGGCTGGAAAAAAGAAATAGGCTGTTTATAAGTTATTCAATTCAAATATTTACTATATATATAACTTATAAAATATGAAAAACTTTTCCTTCTTTTTTTTCCTTGTATATCATATATAATAAAATGCCATTTTGAAGTAAATTTGAAAATTTAATTGCTTTTTTAGGTTATCCAAATTAATTGGATTGAATTTTTCTTGTTCTATTTAAAAGGAAATGGATTTTAGGATGATTTCCTGAAAGTCTCTCTTCTTTATTTCATAGATAAATAATATTGGATGAACAATTATGATAAAAAAGGTGTCATTTTTCTGGATGATACCATATAAGATTGGTGATAGTTTCGAAATTCGAAGTGTGCTTCGAACTTTCTTATCATTTGAATTAATTGAATTTAATTTCTCTAATTTCATTTAAAAGGAAATGGATTTTAGGATGATTTCCTGAAAGTTTTTTTCTTTCCGGTTACTTTTAGTTTAAATTTTTGTTTGATGAAATCATAAAAGCAATATATATGTATAACATTTATCTATCATTCATTGCTCTTACAGTAAAATTCATTCAGATGACCTTTGTATGGTCATCCTAACATACAATTAGTTCAACGATACGAAAACATAAAAGAACGAATAAAGTTTTGATTTCAATTAAATTAAAATTAATTTTTCAAAATATTTTTGTTGAAAAAAAATTATGACAATTATCATATTTACTATTTACTTTGTTTCCACAAAGTTTGTTTCTTTTTTTAAAAAAGATGAAATATGAAAGAAGAAATGTTGACAGCGGAAATACTATCATCGTATATTTCCTTGTATTATTTTGTAAGCAACTAAAATCATTTATTCGCTCATTTTAATGCAAATGTTTACTATCATTTAATTATATATTAAAACGTTTAATTGAAAATATAAATAGCAAAAATGAGCAAGAAAATAGTAAAAATTGTGTTTACTTTAGAAAGCATTTTGAATTATGAATAAATTAATAATTTATTCATAATTATTTAATTTTAAATAACCTAAAATTAACGTGTGAATAGCTACAAGCTAAAATATTGCTAATTTGAAATGGCAAATATGATTTCTTATATTTTTTAAAAATGAAAAAGAAAACGATTCAAAATCTACAAATTATATTCTTGGGGAAAATGCATCAACTTATTAAATAATCAGTAAAATTTATTGAATCAAAAAAAAAAATGATGATTAGTCTATTAATTTATGAAATTATTATTTTTTGAATAATTTATATTTCCATATAAAATATTAAGTAATAAGTTATATAGCAAAATATGGTCGTATGTTAATTTTCTTTTAATTTAAATTTAAAAAACTAATTATTATCATTAGCGTATAATTTTTATGAAATATTACAAGAATTGTCTTAGCTGCTTTCGCAACATGATCACCTTTTGACATCGAATATATATTTCAACAGCTTCTGAATATGGCATCAGAATATCAGTAACCGTTATACGATGAATTGATATCATCTTAGCAGTTGAATATACCGAATCTGAGATTCGATAAATTGTTTGTATTATACAATAGATCGTAATAAATTAACAATATGCTAACTTTTATTATTTAAAACAAATAACTAATTTAGTATACGTAAGAACCGTTAAATGTTTGTACTTTTTTTTTCTACTCATTTTAAATTTTATTAATACTCATTAATTATTATTATTATTGTTGATTATTCTTACCACCGTTCCTTTTAAGGTTTATTTTCGATGTTATATATTATTTTTGATTTTCCGGATGATTTCGGGATAGTGAATTTTTCAGAATCAATCGCTTTAAGACAAAATATCTCTTTCTGGTGCAACTATTTTTTCTTCATTTAAAATATTTAAATTGAAAACAAAAAGGAAGTTTTTTTTTTATTGAAGAAATTTGAATTTCTATCCTCTAATTTGGGCACTTATTTCAACGTCAATATTACAGAATTGCCAGCCAACAACTTCAACAATTATGAAATGATGCATTTTTCTTTACAGAATTCATAATGCATTTTCACCACTGTTCAGTGATCGAAGTGTTCATAGATTTATTAGCCGAAAATTTGTGCTTAAAATTTATTTTAAATCTTTTCACCCTTGACATGTCAAAATAACAATGTGAAAAAAAAAAAACTGGACAATTTATTTGGTCAAATGATCGTTCGCAAACTGATAATCATTTTTTCTAGAAGTAACGTTTCCTGATTGTGGTTAATCTGAGGCAGGATCAGCACACTTTCTTTTAATCGAAAAGGCAATATTGGATAATGGAATTGTGTTGCATTAAATTTTAGGAAGAAATCTCAGCATTAATGCCTAGGTTAGAAACTTTTCGGTACTATCAAATGTTTGAGCCATCGATTTACCCATACGAAACAATTGTAGTGTATCGGTGACCGGCAATTTGATTTTCGCTTTACCAATTGAAATAACAAAATTTGGAAAGAAGAACTTCTGGCAACACCGTAAATATATGCTATCTTCCAACTCAAGGCTTATTTATTAAAATATTAATTGAAATTCATAATTTTAAAAAAAGAAAAATCATTGCTTTAACATGTCAAAATAACAATGTGAAAAAAACTGGACAATTTATTTGGTCAAATGATCGTTCACAAACTGATAATCATTTTTTCTAGAAGTAACTGAAATTATTAACCGAGGTTATCGTCCCGAATAGCAGCAATGCTTTTAAAAGTTCCTTTGCATCTTCAGAATTATATGGTATCACAACCTATAATTCACTTCTTATCGAGAAAAAAATTCTATTCAATATGAAGATATGACAATTACGTATTGTTAGTGACAAAGGACACATCGGACATGTCAAATATCAGATTTTTGAATAAGGTCCACATTTACTTGTTAAATTTTAATTTATCTGACGATTGAACGAACTATCGATAATCGATTTTTTTTTTAAATAATAATAAAGAATAATAAGGGAATGGAAGGGATATTTAGAAATATCAAATTATATTGTTTTAATTTATAATGAAAAAATGAACGACGTGAAGAAAGCAAAATGATAATGTTTTAGAATAAAGTTGAAGTTGAAAATAAACTTTCAAATCAGGATAGAATGCTGAACCATGGCAAAATTTCTTGTGTATGTTGTTGAGCTACTAATACATCAAATGTATCAAAGTATAACAGCTTTTGATCTATTTAGTCCACAGAAAATAAATGAAACATTTACCTGATGATACCTGTGTGTAAATTTGCTTCTATAGATTCAATTCTTTAGCAATCGTTAAATTTTTCATAAAATTTTTATTAATTACAAAGTTTTTGTTATTTGCTGCAAATTTTATGGATAGGCTAAAATGATGTAAAAAAAATTTCTTTAAAGAATTAATTATAAGTTCAAAATTAAAAATTAAAAAGTAAAAACAATTTAGAATGTAGATGACAGCTGTTCTATGTAATTTATTTTAAAAAAATACTAAAACTTCTAAATTGTTGAGATTTTTAAGAAAGAATTTACTCGACAAAATTGACACATGTAATAAGTTTTAGCAACGTTGTTAATGATATATGAACAATATGTTGCGTTGGAAAATTAAAAAGGCATCATTTCGTAAATTGGACGAAAACCCAAAAGTGCTGTTTCAACAGCCATTCCGGAAAAACGAATTTTCGAAATTGGTTGGTATATCGAAGTATAGATTTTTCACCATGTTTTTTCACAATATCCTTTTGGCAGTTTAAAATCTAAAATGTTATAAATGAATTTTTGTTAAATTATAAATTCCAATCTCATCCATGAATAATCATCGGAATTTCATGAAGATATATATTTTTTAAATATAACTTTAGGTACTATGTTACTATTTTCAGCCAAAGCACATCAGATTTATTTAGAAAATAAAATTCAACGAAAAAATAAACTTCTTAATTTTAAACGATATGATCGAAATTTTGTAAAACTTTTAAAAGTTTCAAAACAAAGGCAAGTAGTGAAATATTAATTACTATATCATCTTTTTTTTAAATAAAATTTCTCTCATCTTATGTTTATATATTATTTTATGAAATTGAAATTTCATTAAATATTGATTGAATTGAATTGTCATTAAAAAAATTTTTCACCAAATCAATTTTATCCAACGATTTTTTCAAATTTAAACAATGGAAAAGATCAATGAATATGTCGTAAGCTTAAATTTTCCTCGTCTATCTTTTAATTCATTCCTTTTCAAAACATATCGAAAATATAGGCATTTATTATAATTCGAAATTTATAATATAACTTATTACTACCTTTGATAAAAGTTTTGATAAAGTAAATTATCAAATTGTAATGTAAAAAAAAGAAGCGATAATTATTGATTGGTAGCATGGTAGTAACATTATTGGTTGATAACATGGTGGTAACATTATTGGTTGGTAACATGGTGGTAGCATTATTGGTTGGTAAAATTGGTTGGTAACATGGTTGATAATTATTTGGTACGGAATAATTTGTTAGGATCGAATTAATTTGTGATGAATTTTGAAAAAATAATTTTTAGCATTCATAATATATTTGTTATTTTCATAAAGTACATGAAACAATGCAACGTTGTTACCTTAAAAGCTCCATTATATTTATATTGCCAACAAAAATAAATGATATACTTACTTATATTGCTAATATGAAAATATTTTAAAAGTTATTATTTTTTATTAAATATTAATTTCAATATAATTATATTTAATGTTTGTAAACTTGACGATAAATTTATAATTAACCTATAAATACATATCACTTCAAATAATACTCAATATTAATTAGTATTTTAAAATTAAAAAACAAAAGAAATAAAAAAAGTAATAAATTTAATGGCTGAAAATAATTTTCTCACAATGATTTATACTATAAAATTAATAATTTATTTATCAATATATAATTTATATTCGAAATGATATCAATTATTACTAATTCGTTAAAAAATCGGAATAATGATTGTTATTAAAGAAAGCAAATAAAGAGAGATTAATTAATTGTTGTAATGTTTATAAGTAATTCACAATTGAAAATATTCCATTTCATTTCGAATTTAAGTGTTGATACGGTGGTTAATTATTGCCGTAGTACAAAGCAAAAACGACGATAGTTACGAAAATAGAATTGAATTTGCTGTTATAATGTTGCAAGAAGCTATCAGCTTGAATATTATTCAAATTTTAATTTGCTACGTTTAATTTGCAACAAAGATAACAATTTATTGCTAATTACTAGCTATACTTTTGCAGAAAAAAAACGAATGAAAAAAATCTTATCGGAAATTGTTTTGGAATGATTGCTATTTATTAGATTGAACGTATTAGAATGTGTTTGAAATTTTTATTCCAATTAAAAGTTTCGAATGCAAAATTTTAATTTGAGTAATTCGAGTTAATTAAGGGGAGAAAATTTAATGTGCTTAGGTTGAAAGGAAAATTTAATGAGCTAAATATAAGACATTTTGTAAAAGAAACAAAAAATTTGCAAATGAAAATTGTCATTTGAAGCACCACACCAATCACATAGATAAATCAAAAAACAGACATTCATCGGTAATTTTCAAATCCACTTCTTGCCATGGATGTTCTTCTGATTCCGCATTTGAATTTAATGGATTCTCGAAACTACCGTTTGCAAAGGCATCGGTAAACCTTGGCAGTGATGGTTGTCCAACTGAAATTCGTTGTTCATTTTAAAATTACAATTTCAGCATATATATAATTCTAGAATAAAATAGGAATCGAATATCATGCAAAACTTTCGCATAAAAATAACCCTCTATTCGATTCAAATATATTACTAAAGAAATTTGGAGATACCAAAGAAAGATGTTTCAACCTAATAAAATAACGGAACCATACAATCTGATGAATTTAGAAAAGTTGAATTTTCCTCATTTCTCCACCATACTGGTAATTTATCGTGCTCAATTACTGTTTGTAATTGATAGTAGCTATTCCCCGGATCTGTTGCTTGCAATAATTCCTAAATATATTTAATTTAAATTTATGAAATTTTCCGTGATACTTGATTAATTAAGACATCTCATTCATGTAGGAAAAGCATTATGCAATCAAGGTGATGATGATGATAATTCAAGATCAGATATTTATATTTTATATATATCACTTTTTCCACAATTAAAATAAAAGTGTAGGAAGACATAAATTCAAAAGGTGTTAAGAAATTTTGAAATATTTTCAGTGAAATTTGAGATGAAAATTTTATCAATGAATATTTTCATCTTTTATACAAAATTAGAAGAAAATTTAAAATTGAAATCAACCTGCTCATTTTCGTATTCTGTAAAACTTGAAATTGTTGGCGGTGAAACTGATGATAAATGAAAATTGACATTTTCATCAATTGCTGAAGAATGAATGCGTTATTTCGACGTTTAGAATAAATAAAATTGGGAAATTTTCAAATGTTAAAAATGATAAATTAATTACAAAATTAAAAATATGATAAACACATAAATACCTCATAATTTAAATTTAGTTCAATTTTTAACAAATAATTTTAATAAATTATAATTCATTTAATTAAATAAGATGAAAAGAAAAAGAAAAACGATTGTTTAAACGATTCTTTCCCACATTAATTATTTTCAAACATTCGAACTCCTTGGAAACATTTTTAGAAAAGAAATTGAAACAGTTTAGAAACCGGATGTAAATTCAATATCTTCAAGACGAATTGCTTCTTCAGCACCAATTTCCATGATCTGTGGTGAATGGTTGGATAAGTTGTTAGTTGAGCGTAAATTGTTTAGATTCGATTGTTCTGCAAATATTTAATTGGCAATAGCCAAATAAGTTTGGCTTAAAATTATTTTTGATTTATTCATTATCAAATTGAGAAATTTAGCTTAAAGAATTTACTGCTAATTAAGATTAGACAAAAGAGGAAATTCAACAAGAAAAACCTTCTGACTTTTGAATGATAATTTTTTACATCAAACATTCTGCAAGTTTGAATTTATATAAATTATTGTCAAATTATTTTTAATTATGAAAAGTAGATTTAATAAGGGATTAAAACAAACTTGCTGATTCATTTTGCTTTTTTAAATATGATAGAATTGCGGGATTTAAAGTTGGCTTGCAACTTCTCTCTAAAACTTTCATTTTGCCATTTGTCGAAATATCTTTTTTCATTTTCAAACCAGATGAATCCATTCTAAAAATTAAAAATTTTCATACTTCTTATTTAAAATTAAACTTTTTAACTTTTATCTTTTAATGTAAACATATTATTGATTGCTTACAACAAATAAAAACCTGTCAACAGCTTAATATAGAAAAAAACATTGAACTTAGTGATTCTATTCTAAAAACATTGAACTTAGAATATTTAAAAAAAAATCATTACTAATTTGCTAAAATGTCTTGTATACAGTTTAAACAAATCTTAATTAGGCATTATATTATTAAATATTCTATAAAACTGTTAACCAAACATTGCTGTTTTTATCAAAAAATTTTATCACTCAATAATTGATACTAAATTTTAAATTTCAACATAAAGATTATCATTTGTTCATATTTCTTTATCAACATTTCTCTCTCTCCCTCCCTAATATTTTCATGATATGACAAAATTTTATCAATCATTTTATTATTATCATTTCTTTTTACTTTTATTATTGATATAATATATGTATTTGTATTATCAGATAAGATATTTAGGATAAATAGAAACAAATATGCAAAAAAAAAGGAAAAGTAAAAATAGGAAAATTAAAAATGAAACAAACACATTATGATCGAGCATCCAATATGAACCTTTTCCTTTTTCACCTTTTTTCCGTGGTAATTTAATAAATTGCTTATTCAACGAAAGATTATGCCTTATTGAATTCTAAAATTGCTTCATTTATCATTTCATTAATTAGTAAAATTAGCAAAGTACTTTATTTTAAAATTTATTGTTCGAAAAAGATTAAATTTTTAAATAAAATTTATTATATTCAGAAAACAAGTTATTAATTATCACTTGAGCTATTATAATTAGTCCTTATTTCATAACATATCCTCAGGAAATATGTTATCAATCTGGTTCCTACAATATCTTTTTATCATTCTAATTAGATGGAAAAGAAGAGGAGAAAAATTCGTATTTTAATTAAATTAACAAAAAATTAATAATTTAAAAAAAAAAATTGAAATGTAACATTTTCTTTTTCTTTTTTACCTGCCATGTGATATCTGTTTTTCGATACCATGCAAAATTTTTCTTCACATATTCATAGATATCACTAAGTAATACTTTACTATGTCCATGATGACGCATTGCTAATGTTATTAATTCAGCATAACTATAAGGTGGTTTGATCGGTTCTTTTGAGAAATCAACATCATTTGGTGCATTTTTCTAAATATATAATTAATAATTTCAAAATTGTTAATTATATAGCACTAATTAATTTAATTAGAAAAATTGAATTTTTTTAATTTTAAATTTTTATATATTATTTTGAAATAAAGTTTTTTCTGTCTCTCTCTCTCTCTCTCTTTTCATTTGATTGAATAAGGCATAAATTACAACCAGTCCATTTAAAATGAAAAAATGTTGAAGATATATGAAAAAAAAAGTTTGGACAATTTTTAAAAGATATATGCAACTTTCGATTACTAATATTGATTATAATATTAAAAGGTGGTAGGTGTAATGGTAAATAGCATAGAGGAGGTAGATGGATATTATTGCTTCCTTGGTAATCGCTAATTGAAATATGAAAGGAGTAAAGCATAATTTTATATTACATACAATTGAATGTTCCCAAATGGGTTACGTATATATTACGGATGCTATACATGATAAAGCTAGCATAAATATAATTTATAAAATTTTGATTTAAATATGCTAGTAGATTTTGAGACATGAATAGCTTTATACATGATAAAGCTAGCATAAATATAGTTTTATAAAATTTTGATTTAAATATACTTGTAGATTTTGAGAAGATTTAAATATGAAATGGAATAGAAGAATTTAAAGATAATTTTAGAAGAATAATATGAAAATTTTGATGATATAAATTTTACAAGAATAATATGAAAATTTTTTATGATATAAAATAGAAGAATTTAAAGGTAATGATTATAATGATAATGATTTTTTTGTTAATATTCCTTTTACTGATTATTTTGTTTATTTGTTAGATTTTCGACAATGTCGATAAAATAGGTTCGAAAATATAAGACAAAAATTGATTTTACAACATTTCAGATATCATATCATTCATTATTAAATGATTTTAAAATCAAAAAGATAAAGTGAATTTTAGAATTTATCAGCAATAGCTAGAGATAATTTCATATTTTTTTAAATTAAGAATAGTTTTAATCCATTTATAGTTTGCAATACTAATTGATACATCAAAATTGGATTAACCAGAATTTTAATAAAATTAATCAATTAATTGGAAAAAGAAAATTTTTCTTTTGTTTTGTTGATTTTAGCTTAAAAGAAAATATTAAACTTACGTAGTCACGACAAATCTTTGGACGTTTCGCATGTTGCGAAAAATTAGAGAGAAGCGGATCGGGAATATGTAGTGTTGATGTTTTACGTTTTACGGAATTTGTTAGCCAATCAAGGCTTGGTAATTGACAATCTTCGTCATGCATTACCTTCTTTCCATTAATAACTATCAAACAAACAAATTATTGAAATTCTAAAAAATGCATAAACAAATAGTTTAAATTATTTTAATTATTAAATTGTAAAATCATAATAATTTTTGCAATCTTTCAAATCTGTCTAAAAGTTATGCATTAGAAGTTAAATCAATAATAAAAGTTAAAAGTTCCATTAAGTAATGGATAAAAGTTTTTTTAAGGAAGTTTTTCTCTCAACGTTTACTTATGCAATTTGGCAAGGATACGATAAATAATTTCTAAAATTTCGAATCTTTAAAATTTTTCGTTTTTATTCACTAGTGAATTTCGTAATAATAAGTCGTCATAAATATGTCTGGAAGTAAAAAAGATTAGCGGAAAAATTTTTCAGCAAAAATGGTATATAGAGGGAAAATAGAAGAGGAAAGCAAAGTGGGAGGAAAGGAGAAAGGAGGACAGTTGGCAATAAATGGATGTAATGGTGTCATGGACAAGGGGTAATCACTATTGTTAGCCACCGGTGACAGTCTGCCCAAGGCACCGATACCTAATACTTCCCACCTGGACTCTTAGCATTACGAGAGCGAATAAGCCGCATTTTACATCTGACCTATTCCATTCTTTCCACAAATTTTCAAATTATATGTAAATATTTGGCAAAAATTTTTGGACATCATTATTTCATGCTGCTTTATTCTCTTCTACAAAAAATAAGACTAATAGTATTTTAAAAAATTTAAATGTAATCAATCCAACGATTAATTAAATAATAGAAAGAAATTTTAAGGTTAAAATTTGAATTAAGGAAAAGGATTAAAATGAAATTAACCATTATATTCTTGCTAAATCATTCGACCGATAAATAATCGCCAATTATTAAATAATCTAAAACAAAAAAGAAAAAAAATAGTGGTAAAAATTTTTATGAAATGATCAATGATAAATTTCATGAATTTTAAATTTAATTGACCAGTAAAATTTAACAGCATACTATTTTAGCTTAATATTTACCAAATGGAAATGGACAGAGAATAAAAGAGAAAAATGAAAGGTATGATATTCTAGGCCATGTTTCACATCCTCATTTATTAGTATGCTATTATGAGGCAAGACCAATGCATCATCTATTATCGGTTATTTATGACTCTATGATTTTGCCTGTTCTCATTATCATTGAGCAAACTAACTTATTATTAATTTTACTAATGCACATTTTATTATTGATTAGTTTTATGATTATTTACTCAATTTTGTAGGAAAAAGTTTTAAATTAATAAAAGATATTTATGTTTACTTTCTTATCACTCACTAACAATGTTTATTTTTTTCTTTTATTAATTAATTAATTAATTAATTTATTTATTTATTTATTACATTTTTAATAGAATATTTGATTGGAAAAAATAAAAAGAAAAGAAAAAGGAAACGAAATTTCTGAAAGAGAAAAAACACACACACAAAGTTTTAAAGTATTACTTTCTTAGTTATACCGTAATCAATTATTCCTTACAATAATAAAAGGTATACATACGGTAATAAATATTACTTCGTATTTAAAATGTTAATTTGAAGAAAAAAGAATTTTATTAACTTAATTTATTTGGTAAATACGTAATATTTCTTTCTTTCTTTCTTTCTTTCCTTCAAATATTGCTAAAATAAGAGGAAGATAAAAGAGAAAGTGAGAAAATGTTGCGTTCATCATTTGAATCTCAGCTGTCATTTCATTCAGTATTATTTCAATTTCTAATTTCAGAATCCTATATTGTGAGGAAATCGGTACAATTTCTGGTTTTGTTTTTAGATGATACTGCTATTCAGATCTGATGATTGATTATATGATAAAAATAGTAGAAAATCGAATTTATTACGATTTCCTTAAATATTATAATAAAATTGCTTTTTCGATCATAACATCTTTTAAATGATGAAACAATCATCGAAAAGTGATTCACAAATTATGAATAAATAGTTGAACATTCTATTAAATTTACTGTAAAAAAGCAGTTAATTAAGAAGTGTAAAACAATATTTACAACATTAGAATTTATTCTGCACGATTAAATGTTAATTAATAACTTATTTTCCTATTCCTAATTACCGTTTTACGTAAGATCATCTAGTAAAGATCTATTCCAATGAGTTTAACCTAATCCGGAATATCACCCTTATTTGCATCTATAAGAGAAATAATTTCTAACCTTTCAATTATTTATAATAACTCTTGAAATATGTTAATAAATGTTGCAAAAGGATGTGAAATTTTTTACACTTATCGTAAATCCGAAATCCGAAATATATTCTACAAAATAAAATACATAATTAACGTAATAAAGTATTGCTTTAATCATGAAATTTATGTTATAGAAATATATTCTATATCAAATGATAGGATGCTTCGTTTAATATCTCATTCAGTGATTCTAAAGAATACTGTAAATGATTAACATCAAATAATTCTCACCATTGGCCTCATCTTCAACGGACTTGATGATCGATCAGCTTTATGTATTATTATATATTCAAGCAATTCGTTGTTAACAGTCAGTTCTATTGTCTAGTTATTATAAATGACACCAGGCGATTCTTTGTTCACCATCAATTTTATATGCAAAATGATCAATTGTCTATTTATTATAAATATTGTTCATCAAAGCACCGCCCAAACTTGAAAGGAGCATTTTCTAGTGTAACTTATTGCTCTGGAAACAAGCGGTCTTATCATCTTCACTCCTATGAATTAATATCTCAATGACGATACTTCTAAACCATATCAATCAATATCTCCCAAATTCTACTGCTAGACTAACGGTAAAGAAGATTAAATGACTGATTTAATTAACGATAACTTCTCGTAATTATATTACAATTACGTCAAGAAGAATAAATCACTCCATCGAACATTAAATTAAGTCTCCGATACAATTTGATTATGTCAAAGACCAAAAGTTTTCCTATCAAAATAATATATATAAAACTTTCACACAACAATATTAATATTTTTTGTTTAAATGAAAAATATAAAGTTGAAAAAGCAAGATAATTGATATGATATAAAATTTAACTATAACAATAAATTTGATAATTATTATCAAATTTCAAAAAAAAATCAAAATGATATGTTTAGCGATTTTCGTAATTATTAAACATTTTAGTGACAAATGAAAATATCTCATATAGCAATTATTTGAAATTATGCAACATAGCATTATTTTATTTATTATCAGCGAAATTCTTGAATTACTACAAGTGTAACAATTTGAGCATAATTATTCAATAAATTAATATTAAGTTGAGGAACGATAAAACGTTAAGCGACACATCTTAATTGATTTTGAAAAATGTTGAAGTTACGAGTTATTTGATACAATTGAAATAATGCGATGAAATTTAGGCTAATTGCAAATCGAAATATTTAAGTAAATGATAAAGTAAATGTAAACTTTTGTTTATTTACTGATTTGATGAGGACAAAAGTTTTCTACACATATTATTGTGATTAAATATGGAATGAAATATTTCAACAATCGAAAATTCTATTCGTTTATTATGTCTAGGCATATCATTGTTAATTGATTTGAATATCAATATATGCCATGCCAATGAAATTGATCATTTTTCTACATTACGTATTTTATTTATCTGAATTATATAATTTCATCTAATAGAATGCTGCCTGATGCTAATTACTGCAAGCATTATAATGAGCAGAATAGCTAACACATAGATTCATTAATAATTAAGATTCATTTCATCCAAATTCTTCTTGCCAATATATCTTTTCTGAAAGCTTCATCAAATTCTTCTTATAATTATAATCATTTATCACTTAATTATCATTTATCACTGAACTATTTCTGTTTAAGCGATAAAATGAAAAGTGTAAATTTTGTTTATCCTTTAAAATTTAAGTAAATCCCTCTTTTTTTCGAAATATTTTACGTATTTATTTCGATTTCAAAAAATATTTTAATTAAGGAATCTTTGCTAAATTTTCGGCAAATTTAGGTAATATTGTAGCAAAGTTTTGAACATCTATTTAATATTTGTTTAATGTCTCAAATTTATTTATCTTTATCGTAAATTGCCACTTAATCTAATGAACCATAACTATTATATTTTCGAACTGGCAATTTTCATCTATGAAATAATTATTTTAAAACTACAAATTCATAATTTGGCCTATTCTATTATTTGTTATGATCATCATTATTATTATTACTACTATTATTATTATTTTTTAATTATTATTAACCACGATTAGTAATAATATTAATGATAATAGTGGCATTAAAGTTATTGTTATTATTGTTGTCGATCGTTGTTTTTATTTGTTAAGGATATGTTTAAAATTTTTATATTTTATCGGAGGCGAAAGACGAAAAGAAGACGAAGGAAATAATAAAATGATTGTGAAACTCGTAATAAAATGTCGTTTGATGATACGTTGCTTAATTTCGTTTTAGCAATGATTCTTTGTCCGTTCAATCAATTGTTAAATGATAAAAGCAAAAATCTTCAGATGAGATAAAAAAAATTTTGATATTATATGGAAAATTTCCGAACAAATAATTGTAGATGATATGTAAACAGGTTGTTGAAGAATGGACAACTCGCCTTATTCAACAAATTTTTCATCATTTAGAATATTCATTTGGTAAAACTTTGCTACAATTGATCATTATTCTACCTTTCTATTTTAATCGAATTTTTCTTTAACCGTTTTTCTTCCTTTTTCTTTTCACCTAATCTATATATCTATGAAATGGATTTATTGTGTGATAAAATAAGCTTTGTCGTAATATCTTAAAAGTGAAATAGGCTTTATGTTTGCAAAATATTCTTATGATCTGATACGTCATAATAATTTTAATTTTACAATTGTTAACTATCAAAAAAATTCCTTTGATAACTATTTTGAAATAGTCTGCATAAATTATTTCTTTAATGGATACGACAAAAAAATTAAACTTTTATGCTAACTTTTAAACCCATTATATTTTACCTTCGTCTTATCAGAACCATTTGGAGATTTTTGATAATGAATAAATTAAGAAGTGCGGAGAGTTTTTATTGATTATTTTTTGTATTGAAGTTTATAGATTTATTTCAGTTGAATAAATTTTTCAACAATTTCAACCACTATCAAATTATAATTAATCTAATAGATTAGTTATTAACCCAAATAGGGGGGTTAATCAAATAGGGGGGCCTAATCTACATATCTATGAAATGGATTATTTATAGTAATTATTTATAGTAATGAAAACTGTGAAAGATATATTCTGGATCATATCATTATTCAATCATTAGTTCATCATTAGTTCATTAGTTTTTAATTTTTATCATCTTCATTAGTTTTTAGTCCTAAACCAAAAATTATCGTTAATTCAAATTGATTTATCTAATTTAAAACACGTTATTTTGCTGATCATTTCTAAATTCAAGTTCATTTTTTTTTTCAGAATTTCCCGTAATTTTTGCCAAATTTATTGATTCATTAATTAAGAACAAGTTTTGCAAATTATTGTTACACTGATGAAACTATGCAAGATTTTCCGATTTTTATTGTTTATTTTTGGATTTTGCAATGTGGTATTAAGCTATTTTATATTACCTGGAAATGATAGTGTATATTTTCAGAGAAGGTTTGATAATATTATTTGATTAATTAATGATTATTTAATAAAGACGAAATAGTTCATTTATATTTTTATTCAAATTTTCCGGTATGTGTATAGTATGTTCAGCAAATTTACTTATCTTCAATTAATACAATAATAAACGAATGATGGAACCAGTTTTCAATTCTTCACAACATTTCTGAAGCAATTCAAGATTATATTTTTACAGCAAAAAAATAAATCTTGCATTTTCGTATCTTCAAAAATCTTTTTTTAGAAAACGTTCGAATAGAAACGATATAGAAAATGCTCAGGAATTATTACGTGGATTTCTTCGCTTATCAGCTGATATACCACTTACGCCAAAACGTCGTTCCAATTTTGCATCTGTTAGTGAAGTGAAATTTTTACATCATAAATAAAATTTGAAAAGAATGTTTCATTGTTTCATTTCGTTCATTTATTAATCGAATAATCTTAATAAGAGAATTTAATTTTCCTAAAATAATTATTGTTTCGTTAATAAAAAAGAAATTTTCAGGGACATATAAATTATAAAGTAATTGATCGGACAGAATATGCGGTAAATAAACGAATTCTTAATGATGTTTTTGAATCGGATCTTGTCTTAACAACTCCACAAATGAGAGATATTATTAGCGATTTTCAACGAAGTAAACAATTCTTGTAAATAATTGTTAGTGTGAAAAAAATTTTTCCGATATTTCCTTACAATTTATTATAATTATTGTTTATTGTTTTATTATTGTTTTTTATTTATTATTTTATTTATTTACTTATTTTATTATTGTTTCACTAATTTTAGATAAGTTGGGAAAAACAGGAAGAAATAAACGGAAAGTGATTGTTGGTGATACATTTCGATGGCCACATCAAACTGTCCCGTACTTTCTAAAAGAAACTGATCGTAAATTATTGAAATATTAAATTATCAAAAGTAGAAATGAAATTTTTATTTAATTTTTTTTGGCAAAAAAATAGGAATTTTAGTTTGATGCAAAATAAATTATTTGTTTTAAACTAAGTTAATTTAAGTTGATTCATTTTTAGTTGGTGAAATTTTAAAATTAATTTGTATTTGAAAATAAAATTTAAAAATTATTAATTAAGGTGAATGGAGACGTACGATACTTAATGGAATGAGTAAATGGGAACGTGAAACGTGCATACGTTTTAAAGAACGTACCACTGAAAAAGATTACGTGTATATATTTCGAGGAGCTGGGTATTTTTATCTCAAATTTTCCGAAATTCATATATTTGTTTATTGTTTTCCACATTTGTTGTATAGATTAGAAAGTCGATAATATGCATAGAATTGATTAGTAATTTTTGAATCACAAGAATTAAATTGAAACAAATGTAAATATATTTTAATAGATGTTATTCGAGCGTTGGTAGAATTGGTGGCAAACAATATACATCCATTGGTTATGGTTGCGAAAGCGTAAGTTGTGAGAGTTTAATTAGTTCAAAAACTTTAAAATTTCGATATAAAAATTAATTGATGATTTCATTTTATAGGGTGGCATCGTTGCGCATGAATTAGGACATGCGCTTGGATTTTGGCATGAACAGAGTCGACCAGATCGTGATAAGTAATTTGTTCTTTTTATTATATTCAAAAATTTTCAATCATGAAAGTAAAAAAATTTTAGATGCGGAAATTTTCCGGAAATTACGGTGCAGGAAACTATTGTTGAATTAAATTTCAGGTATATAAATATTAACGAAGAGCATATATATCCAGGTACTAAGGGAAATTTTGAAAAAAGGAGTGATATTGCAGTTATGGATGTACCCTATGATTTTGGTTCCGTAATGCATTACGGTCCGCAGGTTCATTTAAATTATATTTCTAATATCAAATTAACTATTTCACTTTTAATGTGTATTGAATATTACCAAAGAAAAAATTGCGATTTAATCGCTTAATCAAAAAAAAGGAAGTTTGAAAATTTTTAAAATTAACTATTGATTTATTATAGGCATTTACTAATGATTATCATTATGTGACTATTGAAACGAAAGATCATCGTTTCCAGCATACAATCGGTCAAAGGAATGATCTTTCCTTTATTGATATCAAAGAAGCAAATCTAATGTATTGTAGCGGTAAATGTTAAAACTTAATTAATTTGAAATTTAAATTTTATAACAAGATTTATTAGTAATTTTAAAAGTGCAAAAAAAATTATTTGAAAATGTTTATTTTCATAAATTGTATATCAGTATGTGTATGTCTGCGTGTGTATGTGTGTGTGTGCATTTGTGTGTGTGTGTGTGTGTGTGTGTTAGAAAGTGTAAAAGATAAAATTATCATTTTCATTTTTGAATTGATACTTTATATTCAGAAGATCTTTCCGTAGTAATCAGCTGATCCGCATTATTTCACGAATTTTGGAATTTGTATCGAATTTTTGAAGATAATTTGCTTTGATTGATCTATAGCTTACAGGAAATATTAACAATTATATTTTTAAGATAAATGTAAAGTGAAATTGAATTGTTTGAACGGTGGTTATGAAGATCCACGAAATTGTGCCATTTGTAAATGTCCTACAGGAAGTGCTGGCATACGTTGCGAAAGTATACCACGATCTAACGGTAAGTTAAATACTATTAGATAATTTTTTTGTCTACCTTTTTCTGGAAATTACATAAAATAGCGTTAGGATTAATTAAGCTGTAAATTTAAAATAAAGAAAAGAACTCATTGGTAAAATTTGTATTAGATCCTTTGCAAACTACTCAGGTAAATAATAAACAGGTTAATAGTTATTTGCATTTCAATTGATAATAGTATCAGCGAAAGTTACGAAAATACTATCATGGCAAATAAACAATTGTTTTTTATTTGAGATTTTGATTATTAACTGATAATGGATGAATTTCATGTATTGAATTAACTTGAACGAATGCACTTGCTGTAATAATTATTTGAGCATAGTGGGTTGCGGAGGTGAATTATTTGCTGGTGATAATTGGCTTACATTAAAGAGTAGTATCGTTGGAAATTGCTTCTGGCGAATAACTGTAAGTTGCAAAAAAAAAAAATTTGAAAAGAAATTTTAATTTAATCAAAATTAAATCTAGATAATTTTTAGTATTATATATTTATATTTAAAATATTTACTATAATATTAAATATTTAATTCTAGGCACCCTATGGAAAAGTGCATTTAGAGGTATTGGATGCAACATATGTGTGTGATTCATCATGTGCCGATAATTATCTTGAAATAAAGCATGGTACAATCCTGGAACAAACCGGATTCAGGTTATTCCTAACTTAAGAAATTCATCCAACTGAAATTATTCAACACTCAAATAAAAATTAGTAAAATAAGTGTAAGATGTTGTTTATAGGCAGTGTTGCAATGCTGCACCAGGTGTTATTATTTCGGAGACAAATCAAATTTACATCATGTCCATTGCTTTAAAAGCTCCAGCTAATTTTACAATTCGCTATATTCGAGGTAAAATGATTCTATGGATTCGATCAAAGTTTAATAAGCCTACTCAGTGATAAAGATATCCAAAACTGCCAATTACTTTTCTTTTTTCAATATTTTAGATTCTAAATCGAATCCGTTACCTAAAGCACCGCCAGCACGATGGGAAGGTTACGGTGGATTAACTGGATTGATTGGAGCTGAAAATGGTATTGATAATACCTGGGAGCATGTTGTCTTGAAAGAGCTTCCAAGAACTCTTCAAAATTTTGGTCAACCATCTACAGATATTTTTTCAGATATTTCTCGTATTTTGAAAATATTTTTTAATCAAGGATGATGAATAAATATTATATGTTCAAAATATGAAATATCGAAATATATTCTGATAATTGTACGAATTTACATGAATGAATTCATCAAATTTCACTACCATAGCTTTCACTAACATTTTATTACACAAATATGCAATAAATTTGTGAATAAAATAATAATTATCTTTCTACCTGTTATCATTCAAATCTTCTGTATGAGTTTTAGATGGATATCTTATATTGCAAATTGCATCACAGATTCTTGAACTGATAAAAACGAAAGAAATAAATGTTAAAGAATAAAAATGAAGTAATATAAAATAATAAATTCTTGGCATATGTGATATTTTAGGCTAATTCTGGTAAAAAATAAATAAACAAATTTCGTCATGTGATATTATCAGTGTGAAGAAAATCATTTCGACTTGATATCATTAATGAAATTTAAATATAATCCTGGAAAGAAACATTATAAAGGTGTTTGATGAAAATCATATAATACTTTTTTTTTGACACGGTTTGATCAAATGATTTATTTGATGAAAATTTTTTTTTTAAATGATATAAATCATTTCTTCATTGTTTTAATTTTAAAAAACATCATTGTCCATGGTGTATTTAATTATATTTGTATGAAAGTTAGATGGAATGTTCAGTTAATCTTGCAAATTTAATTAGTTCATTTGAGATTAATATGATTTCGGTTAAGATAATATCATAGCAATATCACTCTTCCATTTTTGCTCTTTCAAGAACTGTCAACTATCAAAGAACCGAATTTGAAGAATATATATATATATATATATATGTAATTATAAAATATAAAATAATACAACTTTACTCAATTTGACAAAACAACACGGATGAACTGAAATAATAGCTGAAAATAATATAATTAATTCGGATATTTTATAATCTAAAAAAACAATCCCTTAATATCGTAAATATAGGTTAATAAAAAGAAAACAGGAAAAATTAATTACATATTAGTACACGGTGGATGCATTTGAATCTGAGCAATAATCTTTAATTTTTTGATAAAAAATTTCTAAATTTTTAATTCCTGCAAAAATTTGCTGCTAACAAATCTTGGAAAATGGATAAATTTTTTGCCAATAGTAGCAGAATTGCAAAGATTGCAAGATAAATCACGGAATGAAATGAGTAAGAGAGATTAAAAGAAATGTAATTTAAATAATCCTTTAAATTAAAAATAATTCAAAAATTCTCATTTATCTCAAAATAAATGAATGAATGAAAATTTTTGACAAAAAAGAATTATTTCTTAATTCTGATAATTTCAAAATACTAACTCACTGAATAATATAACTCAATCTCATACTATCGAGATTGAGTTATATATATTATGAGTTATATGAGATTGAGTTCGATTACTTATTTTTTTGATTTCTTTTTGAAGATTATTAAAAAGTATGAAACAGGTGTACTGTTTATGATATAAAAGATTAAAAATAAACTTTGTTCACAGTATAATTTTGAAATTAAAAGAGTAAACAAATAAATATCGTTGGAATAGAAATGAAATTTCCTGAAACTAAACATCGAAATGTTCTTGATAGTTACGACGTTGGAATGTTGCTTCATCGACGTTTGCTCGATATGCCGCATGCATCATACTGTAATAACCAAATTTATCATGTCAGATGTCCAAAAAATTAAACAATTAAACATCAAAATTATATCCAAAAATTGAACAAATTAATCAAAAAAAGGAAACAAAAAATATCATTGTGTATGAATGAAAAATTTCAATGAAATTATTTGAAAACAAATTGATCAACGAATATCATTATTATTATCGCAGGATTTTCAGGATTATTTATACAGAATCACTTTGAAGTGATATAGTTACGCTATAAGAACCTGCTCGATCCTACCGCAGGCGGTGCATTAGCGGATGATGATGTCGTAGGTTGTGATGCTAATCCACGATGCCACGGAGGTGTTGATGATTCAGCGTTCGAATTTAGTAGTGCTGTCGAAGCAGATGCATGATTATTAATGGAACCATTTGCAAGACCGCATGTTGCACTTGTTGTTCCAGTCGATTGTTCTGTACGGTCTCTGGAAAAAGAATAAACTGTAGTATTAAGTGTAAAAAAATAACTAAGTTTTCGAATAATATAATATCATTATTCATTTATTTACTTTAACAAAATGAAGTAAATTTGAACTTACAACGAGTTAGCGAAACGTGTGCGTGGATTTAACACGTGACTCCCGTAAATGTCTACTGGAATGGTGCTATCATTTCCTCGTGGAAAAAATGGATCTTCCTCATCCACTTCTACGTAATCTGATGGCCTAAAATATAAATTTTGAAATTTTTGAATTCAAATTTTATTAATAATCCATTTGATTAAAAAAATATGATTAAGAATCTCAATCTATCTGCTAAATTTTTGGTTTGTTCTCGACTAACTTCCTTTAGCTAATTTCATTAAAAGCTTCAATTATAAGCAGTAATATTCAAACTATAGAAATACTTACAATGGAGCGAATAAATGCCAACTTTTGGATACGATGAGTAGAAGTGTGAATAAAAATGCTTCAAGTAAAACCAAACAATACAACAAAATGGACGATCCAATACTGTAAAGAAGAAAAAGGCTTTTAAATAAATTGAGAGAAAAAAAGCAATTTGTAGCATTTTAGTGAATGGATTGAAAATTTCTCAAATATTTCAAAAATTTTTAAACCATTACTTACATTCCATCAATACAAAAACTGCGCTCCATAATTAACATATCGTTGTGATAAGTATAACATCCAACGGTTGTTTCAAGGGCGCCAATGTTTTTTAATGCAAGTGTCATATCATCATTAATTATCTTGACCTGGTCAAAGAACTGAAATTGAAAACTTATTAGGCAAGTAAAATAAACAATCACACCTTTGTAATCCGGAATTCTGTATGTTAAAGTGAGTCAATTCTTGTTTACAATCCATCATTCTTCATCCTTCCTCTCTTTTTCCCACTTCGATCGGATCGGATCATTTCCTTGATCATGATAAGGTGTCAAAGCAAAAGTAAAACTGTTAGAGACATATAAAAGAGCAAATTAATTTATCTTAACCTGCTGCTGTTGAATGCTACTGTTGAATAGAGCTTCAATTCTGGAATCAAAATTTTCGCTCATTTCTCGTATATCCGAAAGCTGTTTACTAATTTTGTCAACATGGATCACATTTGGCAAATTGTCATGACTGATTGCCGGATTACATTTTCGGTAAAAATCAAACAACGCCATAGTTTCATTTGACATATATTCCCGGATGAATTGAGTACCATCTGCGCAAAAGTCTACTAATGCCTTTAAAAAAATTTTTTTTAAAATATATGAATAAATCTTATAATCAATTTTCAATAAAGAAAATTATATGTAACTTAAGGAATTCAAGAAAAAAAAGGAGAAAATTATAAACCGTAGAAGCTGGAAATATGGCAGCTAGCAATAGCCATCCAACAATAAAAATCGCAAAGCCAAGGCCTGAAAATACCACTGCGCCTTTTCTCGATTGACGACAAAATGCAATGACACCGGCAAATAGTACGACAAGCATAATCGAAAGTAAAGTTGCACACAAAACCCATCTATAAATGATATAGAAATCATTGATATTGAAAGAAAAAGCAAACTGTTGTTAAAATCTTTTGTTTAGATATCTAAAGTTTGTCGGTAGTATTTTCGATTACTTGAAATTCAATAACAATCTAATCTAAAGATTATCAATATTTCCAACTAAAAATAAATCAATATGATTGTTCTAAAATTAATTTCTCCGATCAATCTTTTTACCTTTCTAACTCAATTCGTTGGGTATAGAGTGAACTACGCTCAAGAAACAAATTTCCCGATAATACTTTCCTGAGAAATGCCAAATCGATACCCAATAAATCAACTTTTTGCGACATAGAATCTAGCATAATCATAAATTCATGTAAAGCCTGCAACATTTTTCAACTGTTGAAAAAATTTTTTTAAACTTTTTGAACAATAATTAGTGAAAAATTTTTTTGCAAAAAAAAGAAATTTATAAATTAACCGTTTTATTTAAGTCTGTCGTTTTTTCTGCTGCACTTTCCACAGCTGCCGATAATGTATCGACTTGCTTAATGGTTTTCAAACAATAGTCGTTCAACAAAATTGACTAAAAATCAAGAAATTAAGAAGAACAAAAGAGGCTGAAAATTTTATGAAAATATGATAATGATTTTGGATATATTATTATGATAATGAATAGAATATAATAATGAATATTATAATGATTAAGAATTATGATAATGATTAATGATCTTTCTTCTCTTCCTCTCTCTCTCTCTCTGAACAGAGAAGATACGATCAAATAATTTGTCTCAACAAAAGGAATGCAAAAACCCATATGAGAAAATTGAAAGAAATAATTGAGAATGATTGAATTAAATGATTAGCAAAGGTCAATTTCATTAAGTTAAAAAAAATTGTTTTAAAAAAATTAATAATTTAAGTTTCGTTTCATCCTGTGATTAGATTTTCAAAAAAGCTTGATGAAAAGAAAAGAAATAAGTGGAAAATGTCCGAAAAGAATGAAGTAAGTAAAAACAACAAAAATAATTAACAAAAAACAAAAATTAAATTAAGCAATTTTATTAAATAACTATTAATTTGTAATAATTAAAACATGTAAAAGTCATATCTTTTTTAGTGTTCTTTTTCAAAAAAGAATTGTAAATAAACAAACCTATGAATCAGCAAATTTAAATAAACAAACCCGTGAGTTAGTAAATATAAAAATAAACAAACCTGTGAATCAGCAAATAATAAATTTCGTGAGATATCTTCAGCGCTAATAATTGAATTCATTATGCTGCGATTCAAATGTTCATTTCCAAATAAACATATTCCAAGGCAAAAGCTAAAATAGTTCTTTGCATGATTATCAACACATTCATTTCGATGAAATATATTTATCATTTAATGAATAAAAAACTAATTAATCAATTAAAAGTTTACCTTGAAAAAAAAAGGAGAAAAAGCGCTTATATAATAAACAATATAGAAATTGTGAAAATTTAATTTTAATTTTAATATGAAATAATATGATAACTTACAAGCATATAATGCTAATAATGAATAATACGAGTGAGAGTTGACGTACACGTCGTCTTGATTTCACATTTTTATCTTGCCTTGTGCAACATTGACAAATCCATGTGATTATAATTGTTAGTAATAATGCTGCACCAATGAAAAGGATCACAACAACAAATACAAACAATGACTGAAATTAATAATTAACATTTAAAAAATTTTTTCATCTCTTTCTTTTTTTTTTTTTGTTTAGAAAATATTTTTATTTATTGTTTACAAAATATTTTTATTATTTTCATAAATTAATGATACTCAATTTTTTGAAAGAAAACGCTATAGTAGAATGTTGAAAGAGTAGAATAATTTGAATTAAATTATTATCATCAATTTCTTTAATAATTTGAATTAAATTAATTTCATCAATTTTGTTATTGTGTTTTAATGTGAAAAGAATAGAATAATTTGAATTGAATTATTATCATCAATTTCTTTGTTGTATTTAAATGTTAAAAGAATAGAATAATTTGAAGTAAATTATTATCATCAATTTCTTTATTTTATTTTAATGTGTAAAGAATAGAATAATTTGAATTGAATTATTATCATCAATTTCTTTATTTTATTTTAATGTGTAAAGAATAGAATAATTTGAATTGAATTATTATCATCAATTTCTTTGTTGTATTTAAATTAATGTTAAAAGAATAGAATAAATAATTTGAATTAAATTAATTTCATCAATTTCCTTATTGTGTTTTAAGTATGCATTTAAAAAGAACTATTATTTTAAATATAATTTAAAATTAATAAAATACTATACTTTGCTATTCCTCTGAAAAATTCTTTGACAAAAAGGGAAAATTTTCAGTTAAAAATTAATAATTAAAAAATTTTTCCATTTTTCTTCTTTTGTTTACAAAATATTTGCATTGTTTACAAAAAAAAATTGCTAATAAATAAATAAAAAATAATAGCACTTTTACTAATTCGTCAAATTTTTCGACAAAAAGAAAATTTTCAGTTAAAAATTTAAAAAAATTTTTCCATTTCTTCCCTTTCTTTTTCGTTTTCTTTTTTGTTTACAAAATATTGCTGTTGTTGTTGTTGTTTACAAAAAAAATGAATGTAATAAATAAATAAAATATGTATTTCTTACTAATTCGTTAAATTCTTTTGAAAAAGGGAAAAATTTTTTAGGCTTAGTGATTTTTCTTGAAATGATCTTTAGTTCTGTTTAGTTTAGTGCTTCGTAGTCAAATGGCATAAATTGCCGTATTTTTATAATGCGGGTGGAAAGAAGAAAGCCATTTTGAAATCACAAAATGATTTGTCCATTTTTTCAATTTTGCATTTAGGAGAAGAAGGAGAAGGAGGAAAATGAAAAGTATTGTTTAAAAAAAAAGAATGAAAATTAAAAATCAACGAATTTTTAAAATGACATTTTATAAATTTTTGAAATGTTAAATAAAAAATAAGAATAATTATTTTATTATTTTATATTATAAATTTAAATAACTAATTGAACAAAAATATTCATTAAATAATTATTAATTTATACGTAAATTTATAATAAATTAATTTGTTCCTTGTTGTATATGAATAAATAATCAAACAAACTTAAATTTGAGTAAATATATTTTAAAAGGTAAAAGTTAAATAAATAAAATTAACCTTTTGCTCATTTAAATAATAATGGTAATAAAAACAAACGAATAATGATATACTCGTTGACCTATCATTACTATTATGATATTTAACTTAATCCAATAATTCTATTAATTTCAATATAATTTTTAAATTTGAAATTTATTCATAAAATCTGAAAATTACTTTTCCTTAAACTGCCACAAATCTGTATCATTGAGGAATTATTCATAGAGAAAATATATATTATAATGTTTTATCAAAAAAGGAAAAATTTTAAATTCATCACAAAAATTTGCCTAAGTAAAAATGAAGAAGGAAATCTGAACAGAATTTATTTTATCATTTTAAAATTTCTATCATAGAATATTTTGTCTTTTTTTTTTTAATTAGTGCAAAATAATTAAATCATTTCATATTGATTTACTGTAATTGTTTTGAGAAAATTAGTTGGAAACATTGTGATAATCAATTTATTATGAATATGATTATGTAAGTAGACGTGAAATTTCATATTTTCTATTAATTAATAAATTTGGATTAAAAATTATTTCAAATATTGATATATCAATATATAAAATAATTATCTAATATTCAAATATCAATTTTAGATAATTATTTTAAAATCTATTTCCTCTTTCTTGTTTGAAACTGTCAATATTCGAGGAGCACAGTGATTATTGTGGTGCCATTCCGTGTAGTTCATTCATTCTTTCAATCATTGGAAATGAATTTTGAAGCCGAAATGAAAAATGAATGAGAGAAAATATTTGATAAATCAAAAACGTTGATAGATCGTTCTCATCAATTCCGATAACAACACCCTCTGTAGTCGACTTTATCCATTCTCTCTTTGAGGAAAATAGGTGGAGATGAAAGAAAGAAGAAATAAACTCTACTTGAAGAGAATGAGACAAAAATCAATTGTCGTCCGCCAGATGCTGCATATAT